CCATAGTATAGGCCCCAGTCTCGGTGGCATACACGGCTACGGTCCTGTACTCCGCAGGCTGGGACCTCAGGGAGGCCTGAGCTGGATGCCTGCTCTAACATAAAGGCCCGGTGCAATGGTGTGTGCCTGTAATCCAGCAACTCTGGGAGACCAAAGCAGGACGACCCCGAGCTCACAGTTGGCCTGGGCAGCATAGCAAGGCCCCGTCTTAAAAACAAAAAGTTGGGAGACAGGGTCAACAGATGATGTAGTTGTTACGTCTTGGACTCCCATATAGCCGACCACAGTTCACCCAGACCCAGTGTCTTGAAACTCACACCAGGCATGTGTGCATGCATTCCCAAGATTGCAGGAAGAGAATAAAGGAGAAGGGATCGCACATGGCCATCCTCTCACACCACCCCACAAAGGTGATTCCTCACCTTCTCTCTCTCTCTCTCTGGCAAGCACACGTGCTCTAAGGCCAAAACTTTTAAAAAAAAAAACAAAAAGAAAGATCTGGGTAGTGTGGAGGTGCATGCCTGTAGTCTCAGCTGGGAATGTAAAGGAGGAGGATCATGCTTAGCAGCAAGACCCAGTTAGAAAGTAAAAAAGAGAAAGAAAAAAAGAAGAAAAAAATGAGTTAGACTGAGCAAATGCCCTTGTCCTTTAGTCCCAGAGAGTGACTTTGAACTTGAGACTGAAAGCTGCTCGAAAGATCACTTAGTCCAACTCCTCATGCTCTATGAATAAAACCAAAAAAGCACATGGTGATTAATCCTCTGCATGGGGTTACGAAGTGAGTAAGCAACACTTTCTGGGGTCTCCTGGTGTAATGTGATTTTTTTTTAATAGTAAGGGCTATATATAAATAGATATATGTGTTAGATTATAAATTTTATATTTGAATTAACTTAATTCTTAAATGAATCAATGAAAACAGCTCATAGCTAAGAAAGAAATAGAGGGATATATGTATGAAGTACAACGTATTACAAATAATGTTTTATTTTTTATTTTTATTTTATTTATTTATGAGAGGTTTTCGCTATAGGGCGCGTGTGCTCGCCAGACAGAGAGAAACAGAGACAGAAAGCGAGAAATCATCCCCCAGAGGGGATGGTCACACTGCAATCCCTTTTCCTCCATTCTCCTCTCAGGATCTTGGACACACACACACACACACCCAGTGTGAGTTTTAAGCCACCGGGTCCGGGATATGAACCATGGTCGACTACATGGGAATCCAGCAACATAGCCATTACGCTAACTGCTGGTTCCCAACAAATAATGTTTTATAAACATATTAAATGTACATGATATAAAGAGTTTGTAGATTGACCAATGGACAAATGGACAAAGTTCATGCCCGAGCAATTCAAAGAAAAAAACAAAATAATTAATACGTGAAAAAGTTTATTCTTCTTGGTCATCAATGGAATAAAGTAAAACCAACAACAGAGTGTTATTTTTACATAATATACGGACAACACAAATGATCTTAAGATGGTACTTCTCGGGGACCAGCAGTTAGCATAATGGCTATGTCACTGAACTCCCACATAGTCGACCGCGGTTCGAGCCCTGGAACTGGTGGTTTAAACTCAAGCCACGTGCATGTGTGTGTGTGCCCAAGATCCCGAGAGGAGAATGGAGGAGAAGGGATTGCGATGTGGCCATCCCCCCTGGGGGGGTGATTTCTTGCTTTCTGTCTCTCTGTCTCTCTCTCTCTGTCTGGCAAGTGAACAAAAAACCTCTCCAAGAAAAAAAAAAAAAAAAAAAAAGATGGCACTTCTCATTATGAGAAATTTGTCATCAACTCATACTTTAATGCATTGCTAGTAGTGGCGAAAGTATCAGAAAACTCCCTTAGGGGGAATAAAAACTAGCTTTATTTTATTTGGGGGGTTTTTTGTTTGTTTGTTTTTAGTTTTGGATTAGTAAGAACTTTAAGGCCTCTGATCCTCTGATGGCAGAGTAATCCCACTCCTGAGACTCATTCTAAGGATATAGTTCAATAAAAAGAAAAACACTTAGTGCATTAAGTATAATAGAAATAAACAGGAGGTAAGTCAACTATGCAGGAGCAGGAGCAGAGTACATTTAATATTGTACATTGATTCTATATATGCAACTAAAAATTGTAAAAAAGTTGTACAAACACAGCAATTATTTACGATACTGCTAAAATAAAAATCAGAAGGCGGGTATCAATCCCATAACACTGGTTCTGCAGAAGTTCTGCCTACATGAACTGTGATCAGGAGACAGCACAGACACGCCGAGGAAAACCAGTATGGCGCGGGTAGAGTGGTGACGGCTGTTCTTTTGGAAGTCTCTTTAATGTTTAGCTAATAAACAAGCCTTAGGAGAAGATATGAACTGTCGTATCCAGAGCTTAGGAAAATAAATCAATCCTGAGGGAAAAGCATCATGTACAAAATATTGACACTTCTACCAATACATTCGCTCTGACATTGGATGCCAGTGATATGGAAATACAGTAAAGTCTTTTAGGTTATGACATATATTGAATAAACATTCCCCCATTTCAACTATTTTAATTGCTAGAGAGCATATGTACTCCCCAGAGAGAGAGAGAGAGAGAGAAAGACGGGCTTGCGAGGAAGCACTTTGCCAATGGGGTGTGGTCACACTGCAGTCCCTTCTTGTCCATATGTCCATCCTGTTGGGATTTCAGACCTGCATACACACGTGCTGGGTGTGTTTCATAAGCCAGGGCTGGGATTCAAACTCTGAGCAGCCATGTGGGATTTATCTCCCTTAAGCACTAGGTTACAGAGCCACAGGTCACCCATCTAATTTTTAACTTAAGAAGGAAGTAACAGTCTTTAAGAGAGAGGGGTGGAGAATAAAGACATAAATAACAATTGTATTGAATAGTTCTTTCAGTAAGCATTTCATCTTTCCTCTCACCGGCTCAGTGTATGAAAATCCCAGACCCTCTGCAGCTGACTGTATCAGTTCAGATTCTAGTTGATGACGTTTCACAAACATCATCATGTCCTAGAGGAAAAAAAGAAGAAAGGAAGGAAAGTGACTTTACGTTTAAATATCAGGTAAGAGAAATGATACATGTTTAAGTGGAACAATCTTCTAGCAGGCAGTAAAAGTGAACAGAAATATTCAGAGCTGCCAAATTGTCCCATTTCCACAGAGCGACACAAGCTGGCCCATATGAGAAAAGGTATGCTCTGGCATTAATAATGAAAATGTAGAAGAACTGAGTTCTGGAACCTTTACTAAATTGTTAGATGTCCCTAAGAGCAGTGTTTTGCTTTTACTGACTTTCCTCAGAGCACATACCAGGACACTTCTCAGAACGCGAGTCTCACCTCTCTGGCCTCGATAGATGCAGGGTCAATGTCGTCATCCAGCAGACTCTCATAGTAATGCACATTGTCTAGGACGTCCTCATCATCCGGGTGGCACAGAAGGTAGGCCTTGGCACACTCCAAGGCTTTCACATATTCACCAACTGAAAGACCAAGGAGCTCAGCATTAGATTCAGCCTGGGTCAGCCCAAAGGACATTACAGACGTCGACCTGCCTAGAGAGGTCTGCACTAAACATCAGTAAGAGGGAAGATAAACGGAGACCAACAGAGCAAGCAGAAATAATCGTGGATGAAAGGAAGGACAGGATTTCAGACCATCGCCCTGCTCTGGAGCTAGATGTTTTGCATACATTATCAACAGTCTTTATTTAAAGTTGTTTATTGACAACGTATATGATGTAGTAGACATAAGCAGCAGAATCCTAGGAATTCGTGCTGATGTTTTTGCTGAGCTTGGTTTAAATAAACATCCTAAAAATGACGTTCTACAGGAATGATGTAACATTTTGAACACAATCTATGAGTAATACAAGTGATTTAAAAAATGCTGTCTCTTGGGACCAGCAGACGACATCGCTGGACTCCCTGGTAGTTTAAATCCTAGACCTGGCGGCTTGAAACTCATGTGGAGTTGAGTACATGTGCGGGTGTGCCTAAGATCCAGAGAGGAGAATGAAGGAGAAGGGATTGCAGTGTGGCCATCCCCGGCCTCCACCCCAGGGGGGGGAAGTGATTTCTTGTTTTCTGTCTCTGTCTCTCCCGTGAGCACATATGCTCTATAGCAAGAATCTCTCTCTTTAAAAATATTTGTTTCTTATTGCTGCAAAGTTTGTGATGGACTGTCCTGCTTTCATGCAGAGTTCTTCATAGAGCCCCAAGGCGCTGCTGGGCGCCCTCCAATCCCTCACTGTACAGTTACCGCAACTGCAATAGTAGCAAACTCCTAAAAGAAGCCAACCAGGAGGTTTCAACTAGAAACTCTGTTACAGAAATATCTAGCTATTACAAGAATTGTTAAGTGCTCTGTGCTTTGTTTACAAATAGGTCACAACATTGGATTTCTTTTAAATGGAATTCTTCTCTCGATGTATATGTATAGAGATGGCTCTGGTTTTTAATAAGAAAGATAAAAATTAAGGAATTCTCTCTATTCCTGCATTCACTGCTCATGACTTAGCACATGATTTATTGTTTGCCGTCACTGCCAAGATAATGAGTAATGTTTTGCTTTGGGAAAAAGAGAGGATTTGCCAAAATAGCTTACAAATGTTGGCTTGAGACTTTTTCTTACTATTATCTTAGAATGAAAACACTTTCTTTACTACTGACCTCTATGCAAGGCAGCCTGAGGGAGCACCTGAGAAATACTGAGAAGAGCAATGAACTGGGATTGAGGAACTGTCACTAAGCGTGGTGCCTTTAACGAAGCTGCTTCTCTACAAAATGAAGACATTAGGCCACATGATATCTAAGACCAATTTCAGCTGTCTGAACTTTATTAATTGCTTTTAACCACAAGGAAAGACGCTCGGTCTCTATTTCTCAATAGGATAAATGCAAATGAAAACACTGCAACCTCTCCTCCCTCAAACTGAGATACCAATTTTCACTTAAAGCCCTGACAACTATCTAAAATGTTGTAATATATTCCGTGGATGAGCAATGGAAAACGTACTCCCCGTGGAGGAAAGTTTGGCAACGTCTGTCAGAATGAAATTGTACTGCTAGATGTTTATCCTACAGATATTTGTATACAGATGGGAAGTGATATATATATAAAATGGTCTTCACTGAAACGTTGCTTACAATAGCAAAAGATTACAAACAGTACAACTGCCCATCAATATGGAGACCGGAAATAAACTGGAGCACAATACGCAGACATAAAAATAAATGCGGGAGATCTTGGTGTACTAACGTAATTAAGTTGGACCATATAAAATTGGCAAAATTTGACCATTTTTTATGTAAGAAAATGGCCATTTCCTAGGCCTAACCTACTAAAAAAGAACAATCTTACATGTCTAAGTGAAGAAAACAGTGTGCAGAAGAATGGAAGTACTATGCTACTTCCTGTGTAAAAGAGGGGAAATAAATCTGTGTGTGTGTGTGTGTGTGTGTGTGTGCTGTTCCTGAATAATATTTTGGAAACATAAATAAGGAACTAGGTTGTAGGGCATAAAACAGGGTTTAGAAACAGGGAAGAAAGACAGTCTTTTATAACATGTGCTTTTAAATCATGTGAGTATACGGCTCATTACACTTATGTTAAAATTGTTTAGAAATCACACAGAGGGTCAGTCTAGTATAAGGTGCAGGACACTGTCCCAGCACTGGCTTCTGCACTTCACCCACTCGTGGTTTCACTTTCTCTTCTCATCCTGAGCTACGGTGATGTGCAACGAGAGAGAAAATGCATACACTCCGTTGCCTGGATGGTAGAGTGGAGAAAGCAGAGCACCACGTCATGAAAATGTGATGTCTGGAGTGGTGAGCAAAGATCTTCATGGGTGAGTCACGCTTTACCTCGGTAGTAGGCAAACTGGAGGTAGTCATAGTGCAGAGGAAGAAAGTTCTCGATGGGCGAGAGGCGGCCCGGGCGAGTGGCGAGTTCCCGCACGCATTCGTGCTGACAGACCAGCACCTGCATGTAGTGATCTGCAACACAAGAGCCCAAACCTGAGTTCCCGCCTGTAGAAAACCCATACTTGAAATTCAGAGCTACAATTACACAGGGCATTCCTCACCTCACCATATTCTGAGAGCAAAGTCTACGCTATCCTCACTGCGTGACTAGAAAACCTTGCCACAAAGACAGGAACTTGCCCAAGTTTCCTCTTCACTGATGACTAGAACAAGAGGAGACCCCAAGTCGTCTGGCTCCTGGACTTTTGTCCACACTGCGCTCTTCCCTTCCAGATACTTTGTAACTCTCATGAAATGATGGAGGCTGTTTCAGCCCCTAGGTGTGGAGCATTCAGGCAGAGAAGAAAAAAGTGCTCTTTCTCCTTGTCAACATTTCCAAGCAAATCTTTATTTATTTATTTATTTATTTATTTATTTATTTATTTATTTATTTATTTATTTATCTAGTTCTTTTTTTCTTTTTTAGTTTTGTTATACAGTGTGTATGCTTGCTAGAGAGTGAGAGAGAGAGAGAAAATGAGAAATCATGCCCTGGGGAAATAGCCATGCTGCAATCCCTTCTCCTCTAATCTCCTTTCAGGATTAGTCATGCTTACACAAGCACCAGGTGTGATTTCAGACCGCTGGGTCTGGGCCTCAAAACTGCAAAGTTGGCCATGTGCTATCCATCTAATTTAACCTCTACGCCATCTGCTATCCCTTCCAATTTTACAAAGGGGAAATACCAACATTACTTTTGCATCTATTCATCAGGACCTGAGTTTACCCAGTGACAAAGCAGTCCATCAGGCTCAACAGCGTACATTCACATATTGAGTACTGGAAAAGCAGAGAGAGGGAAACCTGAGGCTATTGAAATTTACTTCTCTACTTCTTCCTTGAGTGAGAAGGAGAGACAGAGACAGCACCCTCAACATAGCCTTGACACCGCAATCCACCCTAGTCTCAGTCAGCACTAGACCATGGGCACGCCATGTCGCGTGCGCTCGGAGAGGTCTCTGGACGTGAGCCTGTACCCTTCTCATGCAGAGCGGCTGCATCACCATCTGGTTCCCTGAAACCGAAGGAATTTGAATAATCATTTTTCCTCTCTGCTTCCTTTTCATTTTTCCCATTCTTATTGCTCAAAAACAGGGTGAGGATCTGGAAGTCTAAGGGTTTCCTTGCTCTCTTTATCTCTAAGCTCTATCTCATCAGAGCGTGGTCTGAAGAAACAAAAATGACTACCCCAAGGAAAAAACATCTCTCACATCTTGCCCCAACTTTGATGCTCACAATGAAGGTGGAGGTAGTCATTTCCAGAGAACGGCTTATCCATGCTCCTGCTAAGTAGATGCCCTTGAGGATGATACAATCATTCAGCTTTTTGGCTGTACAATTTAATTTACCACAATTGCCTTCTTTCAAAAGGGTCTCTGTTTAGTCAGAATTCAACTTAGATCTTGATCTTGCAAAGGGACCCCAAAGCTTGAGAGGAAGGAAATGTGCATTTTCTAGTGTGGAGGAAATTGTGCCAGCTTCACGTAACTTGGCTAACTCAGTCCCACACAGCACAGCTAACAGAATCCCTATGGTCCATTATTATGAGCCATGGTGGGGAATCTGAAGGGAAGAACGAATTTGATTTATTTGAGTAGCACATAAATAGCTAGCGGGTTTACTGCTAAAGGAAACAACAAACATTTCGCTACTTTTTCTTATGAACTGCCCATTCAAATTCCTCTTTACCCTTTCATGCACATTTCTTCTAATGACAAAGAAAGAGGTGAAAAACACACTCAGCAAAGACACAAAATCTGACTGAAAATATTTTTCAAAACACAATATAAGTAGCAAAATAAGAGTAACAAAATGATATCTTTTAGGTCTTCATCAAACATGGCTGGTAATGAATAACTGCATTTAGGAGTCATTTGTATTTTTCTCCAACTTTTAATGTCTCTTCTAACTCTAAAATAATGAAAATACTTTGATTTCTAGTACATTCTGTATTTTAAAAAGATAGTTTACTCTTAATTTAGGAGAACATTGAGCCAGATAAGAATTTACACAGTGAAATAATTTTAAAATGATTATTATTGTCAGGTAGATGTCTGCTCACCAAAGAAAAGAGAGACAGAGAGAAAAGGAAAGGGAGGAAGCACCCCACAATAGGGTGTGGTCTTGCTACAATTCTTTTTCCTTTCTCCAACCTGAATGCATATAGAAGTTGCTGGGGCTGGGACTAGCAGATGGTGTAGCGGATACATCGCTGGAATCCCACGTAGTCAACTGCAGTTCGAGTCCTGGACCCGGCAGCTTAAAACTCACACTGGTGGGGCCAGCAGGTGGTGTGGTAGTTAAGGGTGTTGGACTCCCTCATGATTGACTGCAGTTTGAGTCCCAGACCTAGTGGCTTGCTTTCTCACTTTCCCTCTCTCTCTCTCTCTCTCTCTCTGTCCCTTTCCGGTCCACTTAAACTAAATAAATAAATAAGTAAATTAAATTAAACAAAAATAATTATTTAAAAAAAAAAACAACCTCACACTGGCATGTGTGCCCAAGATCCTGAGAGGAGAATGGAGGAGAAGGGATTGTGGCACGGCTATCCCCCTCAGGGGAGTGATTTCTCACCTTCTCTCTGTTTCTATGGTGTGCACACACACTCTATAGCAAAAAATCTCTCCAAAAAATAAAGGAAAGAAGTCATTGGGGCCAGGACTTGAACCATGCAGTTGGCCATGTGGGAACCCATTCCCTTAACAACTAAGCGGCCATACTTTTTATTAATTATACTATCTGTCTCCTTTCTACCTCAAATGCCATTATGTAAATAATGTTTTTCATACATTTGCAATCCAAGATACTAGTGTGGGGAAAATGTTCCTTCTCAAATATCAGATTTACACTGCACCTGAGTCTAAATGAACCTAACGGACACTTACAGACATTTATCCAATAGCTGAAGAAAATACATTGTTCCCATCAATACATGATACATTCTCTAGAACAGACCACAAAACCAATCTCAAGAAATTTTAAAAAATCCATATCATATCAAGTACCATTTCTGACCACAGGGAAGTGAACTAGAAATAAATAACAAGAGGAACTTTGGAAACTGGGAAATTTACAACATGCTTCTGAATGACCACTGGGTCAAGAAAGAAGGAAATTTAGGGATGGCTTGAAGGTGCAGCGGCCACACACTGTTCAAGTGATGTTGGATCCATACAGGAGCTCACAGGCTCAGTTCCCCAGTCAGCCTGTACTGCCAGGAATGTATGCCCATGGTAGTGGCTGGCAGGGAGGGCCACAGTAGGGTAAAGAGGCTGTGACCTAAGACTCTATTGAAGGTTCTTGTCTCTCTCCATTGCTCACTCTTATGAAAGTAATAACCTTTCTATTTTTAAAGAAGAAAATACAATATAGCAAAAGCAGTATTAAAAAAAGTAGAATGATTTTAAATAAACGACCCACTGAAGCACTTCAAGGTGCCACAAGGAAAGCAAGAACAAATGAAACCTAAACTTAGTAGAAGGAAAGAAATAATAAAAATCAGAACAGAAATAAATTAAGTTGAATCTAAGAAAAAAATGCACAAATGATCAATGAAAAAAGTTGTTTTTTTTATTTGTAAAAGAACATAAATTAAGAAATAGGCAAAAGAATTTTATTAAATAAGTAGATTTTAGATTCTCTTGTCACCAAAAAGTAACGATGTAAAATGACAGCTATGTTAACCTATTTGACAGTAATAACCATTTTACTATACATATTGATATGTACCTCTGTATCTATGTTCACGTAACAATGCATCATAAACTTTTAACATACACACTAAACTATATTTGAATTTTTTTCTTCTTAGAATAAATTAGATATCTATCAAATTCTCACAGAAGTTTATTATATTTGGACTCGAGGGTCTATGACTTGACCTTTTCTTTTTAAATTTTTTTCTTTTTTAGAAGTTGTGCCATTAGTGAAAGTATTGATAGTTGCATTGAAATGAAAGAACCTGAAGAATTAGGAGTTTTTGGTGTTTATTTTATTTTATTTTATTTTTAGGTTTTTGCCATAGGACACATGAGTTTATTGGAGAGAGAGAGAAACAGAAACAGTGAGAGGGAAAGTGAGAAATCACCTCCTGGGGGGACAGTCATGCCACAGTTCCTCTCCTCCATTCTCCTGGGATCTTGGGCATGCACACCTGGCCTGATTTTCAAGTCACCTGGTCCGGGACTCGAACCATAGTCGATCGGTCCGGGACTCGAACCACAGTCGATCATGTGAGAGACCAGCAACATAATCACTATGCCATCTGCTGGCCTCAAGGAGATCTCTTCTTTCCCCCAGCAATCAACTTTCTGTGTTAACCCTGAGCAAATCACTAAATGCTTATCTATGGGAAATGGACAATTTTTCTAAACCTGATCGAGGACATTAGCTAAAATATTTAGTGACCACTGGTCGAGACAGGCATGTGGAGTTGGAGTCAGGAAACACATAGTCCCACAAAATCACAACATGGTAAATTGTAATAAAGGAAAAGTCTACGTATTTCCAAATAGGAGACGATGTGTGGAGAAACACTCAACAGTTAAAATGGGAAATAAGTGTAAAACCAACATGCAGATGAGCTGTGCTCACAAAAATGCAGGCAATATGTCTGGCAGTAGTCCATAAAAACAAAATTTCCAGGGAAAAATCATCAATAGGTCAGATAACTGGTCGTTTTGGGGTGAACTGAGTTGATTTTGGGTAATCATTTAAGATTGATTTTTAATCTCCTTTATAGTCTAAGTATTGATAGCTATATTTTAATTGTCTTTCTAAAAAATTAACATTTTATAATGTACATTCTCACAAGCATGAAATGTTA